ACAGCAACTTGTCTGTTCCCCTTCCCCCAATTCCCCAGCGCTGTTCCCATCCCCCAATTCCCCAATAAAAAATCTTTAAAACAAAATCTTGGGTTTTCACTTGTGGTCTTTTTTTGGATTATTCTAACTAGACTATAAAAAGCATAAAGTCAGAACCTCTTCTTGTTTTCCTTTACTGCTATAATCTCAGTACCTAGAACAGTACCAGGCGCATCATAAATATTTATTGAATTAATTAGGTAAGTAAATAATATTCTGTGCATATATCAAAACTGGACTTCCATCCATTGATTGACAAATACTTAGGGTTTCTCAACACGCTATCATCTGCCAGCCAACATTTCCATTTCAACAGCATCACCATTATTGACAGTATATTGCAGTTTGTTTATGCAATTATTTGGAAATTTTATTACAGATTGTCTTTACTATCTTAGAAAGTTTGAATAGACAACAGGAACAAATTAGAGTTCTGATAATGAAACATAGTTTTCATAAATTTAATAGAATTGACACTATTATAGAAATCATAGGTATGCCAAAAGGGAGCATAGACTCGTTGGAACTTCAACCTCATTGGTCCCAGCCACCAGCTACGTGTTCAATTGGATGAGAAAATATATATTAAAAAGACTAATTTTTCTATAGTGATTAGTTACATGTGCAAGTTTTAAAAATGTTTGTTTAAAGTCTTCTGAAGTTTTCTTAATCTAATCCAGCACAGAAGAATAAAATTTTACAACTAAAGTGGAAATACTGCACAGCTTCTCAAATGAAACATTTCTTTAAGGGAAAAAATTCTTTGGCTCTGATAGCCAATAATGTCATTTGCCTGTTTAACTGCCACCTCCCCCTGCCACCCCACCCCCCACCTTTCCACACTCACTTGCTGAATAGCAAGCTATAAGGTAACTAAACTAGGTCTATTTAAGTTATTCATTTTCCTAGTTTCACCCTTATATCAGGGGGTGCTGATGCTGTACTTGGAGAATAACTATAGAAAGAGCATGAAGTTTTGAACACCACATGTGTATAAAAAATATTTATTCTAGGGCCCGCCAAGTGGCGCTTTGGTTAAGAGCTGGCTTGGGACGCCAGAGGTCCCCGGTTCGGATCACACATATGAGGGCCAGTGACACTGCCCTCTACAGCTGAGATGCTGAACAACAGCTCAACCTGGAGCTGGGCTGCCGGGAGTCGCCGGCGAGGGCATAGGCTGCAGTGGAGCTGGCTGGCAGCTGGCGTGCACTTCCATGAGCTGCTGTAAGCCGCCGTTATCGACTGTCCAATGGCCAGTGAGCGACTGCTTCATCCAGGAAGAGCTCAATGATAATACCAACATGGGCCAATGAAGACGTCCTCCACAACTAGACTGAAGAACAAAAAACAACAGCAACTTGTCTGTTCCCCTTCCCCCAATTCCCCAGCTCTGTTCCCATCCCCCAATTCCCCAATAAACAAACAAACAAAAAGGATCTGACGCCTGCCAATAACCACATTTATTGACGACGACATCACAAACACACATTAAACAGGATGGGACTACAATTATTATTCCAACTACTAATTTCTACCCTACATAACATCATAACAACCCATTTTATTTATTTACTTTTTATTTATTTTTATTGGGAAATTGGGGGAGGGAACAGCATTGGGAAATCGGGGAAGGGGAACAGACAAGTTGCTGTCCTTTTGTTCTTCAGTCTAGTTGTGGAGGATGTCGCTTCACTGGCCCATGGTGGTATTATCATTGCGCTCTTCCCAGGTGAGGCAGATCGGTTGCCAGCCATTGGATGGCCGCTCATGGTGGCTCACAGCAGCCCCACTGCAGCCTTCACGTAGCTGGTGACTCACTGCAGCCCAGCTCCAGGTCGAGCTGTTGTTCACCATCTTAGCTGTAGAGGGTGCAGCATCACTGGCCCATGTGGGATCCAAACTGGCGGCCCTGCTGCTCAGAGCTCACGCTCCCAAGCCAACTCTTAACCAACAAGGCACTCGGCTGGCCCATATAACAACCCATTTTAGAGATTAAGAAACTGAGGTTCAGAAAAGTTAATTTTCTCAACTCAAAATCAAACAGCTCGTAGGTAAGTGTCAAAACTCGGGTTGGAACTGAGGCCTGTCTGACTCCGATTATGAAGACAATTCTAAACTCTGCCATTGATTTTCTTTGTAAACTTTGGATGGAGCATTACATTATCTCCTGATTCTTGTATTTCTTGCTCCACAATAACTTTGCTAGACTGTGGTGAAAATTAGTTAAAGTGCCCCCATGCCTAACATGACCATCAGTTTGTGCACTGACAGGCATAGGCACATATATAATGAAACCTATATTTGTATCTACTACCCAGAAGCTTAAAATCATGTGCAGGGGTGGGGGAGAATGGTCTGTTACTCTATTATCAGTGCTATGTTTTTTTAAGTTATTAACGTGCTTATGACACATTAAGAGCAGTATAATTGATTTCAATTCCTTAAGTAGCTTTCTTTTGTAGCTGTTTTCCCTGTTCCTCATATCAATCCACTAGAAGAGAAAAAATGTTCAATACTTTAAAACTTTTTTTTTGAATGTTCAATACTTTTAATTATTTTCAAAAATTAGAGAGAATGTTAAGTGCTTTCTTCTTCTTAAGTTTCCATTTGCTTATTTAGTGTATATTAAAATTGATGAGACCTTTGTTTTACCCTAGTCCCAGAATGAATACTTACATGACATAAAGTATTAAGTATTAACTATGTAATTAATTAAGCCTTGTCTTGAGAAATAATTTTGAATCATGACAAGGAAGATCACTGCTTTCTAAAGACAGTAGATATACATGATATAAATCCAAGAACAAGCATTTCACAAAACGCTAGTAAGACAGATTTAGTGTTCAAAAGGCATTAACTACCTTAATTAATTAGAAACGCTTGTAGAAGCTTATTCATAAGTTTTGATATGTTTCGCTTATTTGCTTTTCACATAGGCAAAAAGATTATGATAATACACTTTTTATGTTATTTTAGGGTGTCATGGAGGGTATGTGAACAACTATCTTAACCAATTTTTAGTTAATGTGCCTTCCCTACCCCAGAAGTGCAATCTCTTTCAATTTCTATGTCTTTCTCTTACTCTCAGGCTCTGCATGGAATTTTCCTCTCCTCTTCATCTTGATGGTGTAATACATGATCACATGTTCCTTGTCTTGTTTTCCCCTGGGTAATGTGGCTACTTCTATTTCCTTCTCCTTTTTCATCTTTTCTCTCATTATGGCCTCTAACAAGATCCTCTCCAGGGTCCCTCTGATCGCCATGCTAATAGGAAAGCACTGAAATGACTGAAAGGAAGACAAAGAGAAAAAAAAAAATCCCAAAAGCAGCTGGGAGCCCTTAGTTCTGACCATCTCTATGGAAACAATTCCACAGAGATCCATCTGGAAACAATTCTGCAGGGATCACTGGAGCAGTGGTGAACTCACTGTTCACCAAGGCTTGCTTACAGGATAAGATTCAACTTACAAATAGGAATAGTTGATAGTCTTTTTTTTTTTGAGAAAAGTAGTAAAATAGGAAGCTAAATAAATTTAGGTTTACCCCTATATAGTGTACTTTTTTTAAACTCAAAGCTTCCTATTTGCTGTAATAAAAAAGCAAAAGGAATACATGTACTAATTTCAAGTTCTTTGTAAGCATTCACACTGGCAAACAGTGGAGTGCCCAATACAATGAAATTGTGACCCTTCCCCCACCAAAAGAAAACACACACACACAAAGAAAACATCAAGGTGGGGAGGTAAAAAGTCATTAGAATGATTTTAGATTGTGGCCCATAACCACACAAAGTAAGTATGTGATGTGCAGTGCCAAATTCAATCAGGCAGTAAATACAATAGATTGTTTGAATTCAGGCAAAGGGTAAAAGGGATTACAGAATTCCATCTACCAAATCAGACTGAAACACTGAAACGATAAAGTAGAGATGTAACTTGAACCCAGAAAAGAACTCCATCTGAAGTGTGGGAGGTTGGAGTCCTACTAACAGTGATTATTTTAAAAAGAGGGGAGGGGTTGCTCACAGTGTCAATGACACCAGGACATCAAGTTTCAGGCCTGTTCAAACGTCTCCAGCCAATAAATTGTTAACTGAAGGACTTCTGAGATCACAACTCTAGTGTTTGTTAGGGGAGGTAACTTCAATTTGCCTAAAGTGATGTTTGTTCCCTTAGCTTGGTTATTTGAACCCAAGTAAGGTTCATAGTGCTTTAAGACCCTGGTCCCTGGAGTAAAACCATTTGGGTTTAAATGCTACCTTCTGCCACTAGGTGTGTGACCTTGAGCAACTTTTTCACTTCTCTAGAACTCGGGTACCTCATCTGTAAATTGGGGGTGACAATAATTATCTTTCAGTGTTGTAAAGAGTCAGTGAATTGAGCACAGCACCTAGCTCAAGCAAGCTCTCAATAAATGTCAGCTATTATTACATTATCCTGGTTTTGTTTTTCTGTCTCTTGTAATGATGACCACACTATCCCTTCCCCCTTTTCTGAGGGGTATTTTGAAGGAATGGGCCCAAGAAAGGCAGTACAGCACTATAACCTAACCAATTCTCCATGTCCCACACTTGTCTTAAGCAGGTTTGAGAATGAATTTAAAGCCACGAAATTGAAGTTGCCATTATCTGAAGGTAACTTCACTCTACACACTGCAGATCTCATGGAGGAAAAAATTATTCAAGCTTCTCCACTGCTAACACACTCTGCACCCCCTATGCCACCCTCGACGGGCTTCTCAATGCCTGTAGCACAAAGTCCAGTCGTTGGCTGGATATTGAGGGTCTACAACCTAGTTTTGTCCACCTTCCCAACTTACAGGAACAAGTGTGCTCAAACTCATTTCCTTTTCTCCCTCTCACTTCACATACGTTCCCACGTTTGACATTAATTTGCATTGATCTCTACCAGTACTGCCCTCCACCCTTGCCAGAAATTGGGCATTAAAAAAAAAGGCCATAAATTGTCACTAGGAACCTTGGTAGTATGACAGCACAACCGAAAAGTATTAGATGTCACTTGTACGCGCAATTTTCAAGAATGCAAAGATTTAGAAAACAACCCGAAGTCGTGCATGAGCGGCTAATTGGTCACTCACACTGTACAGTGGGAAAGATGAAAGGCAAGGGAGAATGCGAAGGAGCGGAGAAAGCGAGGAGCGATTTGTAGAGAAACGTGGTAGGGAGGAAATCAATCAAGAAGCTCCCCCAAGACTAAGCCCGCGGGAGGCGAGGGGCGGAAGAGCCAGGTCAGGACGAAGTTGAAACCTTAGCTGGAGAATCTTAATTGGGGCCTGGGGGCACGTCTAAATCTCAGCAGCGGAGAATTAAGCGATTTTGACTGCATAATACAAACATGGTGGACGAGAAAATCACTCCCTGCATTGGCAGCAGAACCACGTGGCGCCCTTTCCACGCAGGTGACGCTTGGGCAAGGGCGGGGCCTTTATGGAATTTATTCTTGGTGGGGCAGAGTACCAGAGAACTTTTTCGAACTGCGACAGCACGGTTCCTTCAACACACGTTGGCAGGAGTAGGGCCACCACTTACCATCCTCCGAGAAAGGGCTAAAACGTGTGCTCAAAACGTATGCTCTGAGAATTTGATGGTTGTACAGTAAGCAGGAAGGGCGGAAATCTCCGCCTCTTTCTCTAACTGGACAGCCCTCGGCGCCTCCCCACCAACAGCGGCCCAGCCTACCAGGGCTCAAGCGTACTACTTGCTGCCCGCGCAAAAGCGGGACCAACTCGCTAGACTCGCGAGAAGGGGGCCGGTCGCTCTTCGTCGCTCTCGCCCCGCCCACCCCCTCCTCGCTCGCGCTCTCCCATCCCCCCAAGCCAGTCGCTCTGCTGCGCAGCTCCCTCAGCGGTTGCCTCCGCCGGAGACGGTTGGAAGAACCGTTGTGGGGAGCGCTACGCTGGGCGAGCGACTTCTTCCTCACAACCGGACCTCGCGAGCACCTGAGTCGGCGCTGCTGTCGCTCGACAGGGTATCTGAAGTAAAGGGGGTAGGTTGGGCTGGTGCTTTCGAGAGCGGAGTCGGGAGGACGAGAGAGAGACTGGGAGGGGGTGCGGTGGGGGCGAAGTGTGGAGGTCGCCGCTCGGAAGAGGCCAAGCTGCGCCTCCCAGGCGATCTCCCACTTCAAGGAGGGCGGCATGCCAGGAGGAAGGACTTGCTCAGGTGGACTTCAGTGGACGAAGCCGAGGCCTGAAGTGGGGGTCATCCAGCATTACCCCTCTCCCTGCTGGTTTGGCCTCCGCCATTTTGGGTACGGTGGCGCGGCCACCTCGGCTTCCCGCCCATCTTTCTCTTTCTACTTTTTGCTCCTCAGCTTCCGAAAACTGATTTAGAAGGCCGGAGGGAGGTCAGGGCGCCTGGGAGGGGGTGAGAGTGGGGAACGTAAAGAGCAGGGAAAAGCCGGGCAGTTGGGTGGGGGGAGGACCTGGGCAGGCGGGCGCGCTCCCGATGGAAATGGCGCCGGGTGGGCCCGGCCTCCCACCGCGGCCTCCCTTCCTCCGCAGTCTCGGCTGGGCTACCTGGGCTGGCGGGACTGCGAGTGACTTCTGACGCAGATTCTCAAGATGAGAGAGGCTGGAGCTGGGGGAGGAAAGCCAATGGCGACGGAGGCGCTCGACTCCCAAATCCAGGACAAAGGAGGCAGACGGTCTCCTTTGTAATTCCGCCGCCCGGTGGCGAAGGTTTTTAAGCCAGGCTTGGCTGCCGGACGGGGAGGGGGGGAAAGGGGAGTACGGAGTCCCTAGCTCTCTGGTCTCTAGGGCAGCTAGATAAACGAAAAGTCTCCGGGGAGGAATAAAGGACGCTTAGCTGGCCCTTATATTCCAGATTTGGAACTTCGAAAAGAGTACGTACTCATTTTCCAAAGGGTTTCCCCCTCCCCCACACGCTTATCTTAAACGTATTTAAAGACTTTGGGTAATTGTTTTGTAATCAGAAAAGTGGGTGACTTATCAAATAGGAATGTGAAATGGGCATATTTCAAATAGGTCTTTTGGGCCCAGTGAACTGTGATACGGCTTATTAAACTTGTGGGCGAGGGTGGAATGGTTTAGCAATGATTTTTGTGCAGTTTTGGCACGTACTGGGTTAGAGTTGAAGTAGTTTTTACATTTGAGAAACAGTTAAAACAGTCAGTGATGGCAAAGGTGGTGTGTGTAGGATTTGAGTTACTGACTTAAATCTGCAAGAGGTGTATTTTGTGCAGAGACGCTGTTGGCATTAGTATAGGACTATAGTAATACTTTGACCAAGAAAATAAGCCTACTCAACAGAAAAACAAACTGAAAGCCAAGTCGTGGTGGTTGCGATGATTTTTGGTCCTTAGGACAACAGGATAGCTGGCTCGGTAATGTTCACTCAAGGTACAAAAGGGACAGGAAGGGCCTGAGGAAAAACGTTTCCCATAATGCATATGGATCTTTATAACAAGTCTGTTTTCTACTTTTCCAGCTTTAAAAACAAAGCCCTCCTATTGAAGATGTTCTGTGATTTTAGTTGTTTTTGAAAAGACAGCCCAGAGTTATCCTATAAAGTAGTGTATGGTATAACAGCTTTTCTAATTTGATTGCCCTAGAAATCTTTTTTTCTGTCATCATCTGCATCATTATCTGGAAATCCATCTAATTGCCTTTGTATTTTTAATAACCGTACTCTTTTTTGGTAAACAAGTTGCTGACCTGCAGTAGATGGTAACTGTATTCTAGAAAAGAACTCATTCATAATCATTTTTAGTGACCTAACCTTTAAGTGGTGTGTCTTTTTTTTTTTTTTAACTGAGCAAGCACATTGTAAGGGTGGAATGATGAAAAAAAATTCCATTTTAGTTAAACATCACCACTTTTTGGTCAAAATTTGCAGTTCATGCTCATGTTTTAGGAGCAGCGGGCTACCATTTAGAAAGTTACTTATTGATGCATCAAACCCTTTTAAGTATTACACTTAGGAAGACAGTATAATCGCTTGTGAAGATATTTTATATTTCATTTGGCCTTTGTTAGGTGCATTTTCTTAACAGCTTTGAGATAAAATTCGCATAACAAACAGCCCATTTAAAATCATACAATATGTGTTCTCTTTTGTGTCTCACTTAGCATAATGTTTAGGAAATTACAAAACTGACTAGAGTTATCCTAATATTTCCACTGTGATGGTGTTTTTAATTGGTGCTAACAATTGTGATTCTTTTTTTATTTTTAAATACTTGTAATTCTTAAAGCAGAATTGTTATTAGCAGTGACACTTGTAAAGAAAGGGTGAGATGGACTATCCTGAATAATAGTAGAAACTATTAGGTAGTTTCTGAGACGACTTTATGAAGGTACTAAAGCAGATTGTCTTTTTGTATATCTGTAGAGTTTGTCTTGGGTTTTGTTTTGTAAGTAGAATTTTAGACTCAAATATTGAATTTTGAAGAGAAAACCGTGTGCCTTTTTTATTTTGTATTCTACATACACATAAGAAGGAGGTTCGCTCTATAAGGTTCTTCCGAATCAGGTTAACTTTTCCCAAATTTAAAATTGTGTTAACAGTTCAGTGTGTGTATGAATTTTGTTTTTAGACATAGTACTTTATTATTTTTATATAGGTCTCATTGGTATGGGCTGATCCAAAACACCAAAACTAGTTTGCTTGCTAGTGTTGGAAAGTGCTAAGATTTGTAGTAAAGATAAGTCAATTTCCATCTTTTTTGTGTGTGTGTTCCCCAAAACAGCAGCTTTACATTGGAGGAAAAAAATGTGCCAAATGATAAAAAGCACCACACTTAAGGTCTTTTCACAACAGTTTAAATTGACTTTGCAAAGTTCTTACATTTTTCATGAGGAATTACTGTGTGATGTTGGATCTTTTCCCTCTTTTCTTAATCACCCTTTATAGGAAATGACTTATTTAAGTAGGTGCTACTTTAAAATTTTGTTTATTTTTTTAAGAAAATGGTAGGTCTTCAAAATGTCTCTTTTCCCTAAATGGATCTGAGGTCTACTTCTTTCAGGGCTACTATGCTAGAAACAATATTTTTAAATTATATAGCTAACAAGTATTGTAGTAAACATTTCCCAAAACTCTGTCTTTTTTCTCTGCTTTAGGTGGTTTCTAAGGAAACATAAAAATGTAAGCCTTTGTTGATTTTGGAAAAGACTTTTAACAGTCCTTACTCCTTTTTAGACTGAGAATACTTTTCTGTCCTTTAAGGTTCAGCTATTTTGTTTGTGGTACATTTCGTTAGTTCTACAGGGCCCTTTAAAATCCCGTAACACTGGCCAACATTGAATGGTCATCGTGTCTCAGACCAAACACTGAATGATTCTTGAAATGGTCTGGTGAAGTGTAGGCACCACTGCTTTATTTTATAGTTGGACACAGGAGTTAAGTAGTTTGCTAAAAATTAAGTAGCCAGTGACTAGCAGACTAGGGATTCAAACCCAGAGTCTGTTTTCTCAAAAAGTTCATACCAGTTATTTGTATGCATAACAATTATATGTAATGTCAGATAAAATGCATATTCTTCCCACTTTGGGTCTGTCTAGAGTGGCACCTAGGATACTTGTTTTAAAAAAAAACAACAGGTACCAAGTGTGGTGATTCATATGCAGAGATATTTGATTTAATAACCACATTTGAAAATTTCTACATTAGCTTATTTTAACTGCATGGAATCTAGGAAAAAGAAATTTTATTCTTTGCAAATGCTGCCGCTAACAGTTCCATTAATTAGATCATGTGAAATTAATATTAGTGAACACTGTTGATAGGCAATATAATCTTTAAGCATAAAGGAATGAAGTTGAACAAATTGTTTTGTTTACAGGGGAGGAGGTGGTGAGGGAAAGGTTTGAAATATTCAGGTGAGTAGGATTCCTTGCAGTTGCATTTGTATAGTGAAATTTATAAGGTCTGGTAAGTTTCTGCAGCTGAAGGACTTCTGCATTAGCCTCTTTCAAGTGTTTCGGAAGTTTAAAAGAAAGGATGGTTGTCTTGGGAAGGAGACTGGGTGGACGGATTCTTTTTGAAGGGAAAGAAAGGCTTCTCACCATACCCTTTTTAATACTTTATTAATGTGAATGTATTTTTTAATTTCTGTTTAAAAGTAAAGCAGTGAGTAAAGTGGTTTTTAATACACTATCTTCGATAACTTATAAAACAGGTGGCTTCAACAAACACTGCTACTGTTGGAAGGCATTCACCCTTGAGTGGCCTTTGTTACCTCAGTTTTAAAAATCCAACCTAGGGTCCGGCCGAGTGGCTCAGTTCAGTTGGTTAAGAACTCATTCAAGATTGCGAGCTCTGAGCAACAGTGGTTCGATTCCCGGCCTGAGCTAAGTTGCTGCTGAGCTGCCAACAGGTGGCAGGATGGCTCAGCTTAAAAAAAAAAATTCCAACCTAATTAATTCAGTTATTTTAAAAGTTGCTCTTGCATAGTGTTTAAACCACGTTTAGTTAAAATAGAAATGGGAATTTTTCCCCCTTCAAAAACAATTTGATACATTCAGAATTAGTGCATCTAATAAATGTAGGCTTTTGTAATGCCATTTTTCCAACTTCAAAGCATACTTGTACTTTTGATGTAGGCTCTTACTGTGAGTGGATGGTGGTACTATGTGCAACTTTTGAGTAATCAAATTTTAAAGGACTTCAGAACTAACTGTTCAAGTAAATAATAAAACCTGGAAAATATGAATGAAAATTTTGAGAGATGAGGAAGAGGCAAAGTTGACATTCAATGACAGTCAAGCAATAGGGAGCATTTGAAGACTGATGGTTGAATTATGTAACCTTTCTTAAAATTAGGCAACATAATATTTGACCCTTAGAAATTCAGTACTTTTTGGTGAGAGGGGTTAGGTTTCAATTTTTCCCCAGTCATTTGCTTACCCCAAAACAGAAAGATGGTGTACCATTGTATTGTGGCATTGTCACTGGAGTATCACTGAGCTGTATGTTCCATTTCCTGTTATGCACCATTGAGAGGTGTTTTCTTCAGTACCTCTGACAAGAGTATATTTTGATTGACTGCTTTATGTGCTTGTTTATTTTTTGTAGCATTTAAATCAAACGGTATTGAGATGGATTGGGTTATGAAACATAATGGTCCAAATGACGCTAGTGATGGGACAGTACGACTTCGTGGACTGCCATTTGGTTGCAGCAAAGAGGAAATAGTTCAGTTCTTTCAAGGTACCTCTAGTATTAGTCAAAGTTTAGTAGTATTTTAATTTTACATTACTCAGTTTTTAATTTGTAAAACCCATTTATTTGGGGGACTTTAATTTGGGTATATCTTGGTTAATGTATTAAGTTATGGAATGCTCCAGTTAATATTCAGTACAGAATGTGTAGAATATGTAAAATCTAACTAATGTGCAATAAACTTAATTGAGAGTAATTATGTGTGATGAAATGAACCATGAATTAGCATATGGAGCATAAATGTGATTCGAGCTTTTTTTCATGTTATATAGGTGGGCTTTTAGCGTGTAATTTTAAAAGACACTGGTCACAAAAATTTATGTAATCCAGTAATATTTGAGAAAGTCTTCCATTTGTATAATGGGGTGATGGGGAACTAAGCTTTTTTTTGTTTGTTTTGTTTAGACTTGTTTTAAATAATTGATTC